TACCCTAATTTCAGGGCTCTAACACTTGAGAAATAGCAAAAATGCGCATAACCCAACATATAGGTGCTACAATATCCACAATAAACAAAATGAGATATTCATTCCGTTCGAGCTGCTTTTAAGAATCGCTTAAACTATAAATAGTTTCCGTAGATTTCAAGCCTTATAATTTTCAAATGCATCACAATGATTAAATAATCATTTTGTTCCTTTGAAAACACCCTAGCAACTGAAGTTGGCCATAGAACAAGCTACATATTTGAGCCATTTTCAAGTTCAACTTCAATAACTAATCTTAGTGCATAATTGTTCAATACTTCAATTTACTCTAAAGATTAGAGAGTACGACTAATATAGAGCAAAAGAAACAAAACCACGAATATCAAAATAGAATTCAAACGCATACAACATACTTGCTCATATGAAAGTTTAATACTCAATCATTCATCATGAAAATTGTATTACGACGCTTCAATAACATAAGACAAACAATTTCAAGAAAAAAAAATAAAGACTCCTAAGTTCAAAATTAAAAGGTCTTCATTCTCTATTGTTGCGCGAATGACAAAATTGAAAACATTGGAATTTCGCAAATAGGATGATATCTACTGTCTCGAGCTTCAATCAGTAACAAAATTTGAGCTCAAAGGAAAGAATTCGAAAGTAGCGAGAATAGAGGGAGAAGTTGAATAACATTTTATTTTCCCTCTTACTTGTTCTAACGAACGACCAATATTACTAAACTTAGAAAATTTATTTGTTAAAACTATGAATGGTCGAAAACGATTTAAACACACTCGTTTAATCATTTCCAGGAACCTAGTTGTTATCATAATAAGACGAAACACGGGATATCTAGACCCATTACGAGCAACATGAATGGGTCTAATTTTTAAAAACAAACATGCCATCGAAGCCACCCAATATTAGGGGCTACGACACTGAAAAATATAAAATGGGGGCTCGAAAGCCCGAACTTTAACCAAATTACGCCAGTTCGATGATGTCTTCAAGAATTTCCTAAACTAACTAGTTTTATGTAAATCTTGAAGTCATAAGTTTATAAGTGAATAATAATAACTATCGATTATTGATATCATTGATAAAACTTATTTTGCAACTTAACCTGAGCTACAAGAACAATTACATGCCACTATCAACGTTCAAAGTTTCAACCCTAATTTTAATGCATAATTGTCATTCTAACACTTCAATTTACATTAAAATTGACAAGTATAATCCATGTGAGAAAAGAAGAAAAAAAGGAAATAAGTTCAAGCACGAATTTGGAAATCAAATGAAGAAAAAACATATATGCTTGTGTATGCTCATACATGACTCAATACTTTACCACTTCACATGAAATTTGTTGCAACATATTCCTTAATTAAACATGTCACAATGACATAGAACAAACAAATTCATCAAAACAAGTCAAATCGAATACCCCTAATTTAAAAAATTAGGGTTCTTCTTTCAATTTTCCCATTTTGTCGACCAAGTTCAAAATTTGGTACAATGAACAAGGAGCAATATTTACTTTCCTTATCTTCAAACGATAGCGAAAATAGAGCTCTAGAGAAAGAGATCGAAAATGGCGAATGACGAAGAAGAGCACGAGTCGCGGATCATGTTTCTTCAGAATTGTTCGTTGTTTAAGTTCTGCGCGCAACTTTGTCGTGAAACTTCTAATATTGCGCGCGACACCCAACTTAACCCTCAAAGTTGCGCACGGATACTGGTCAGCCAAAATGACCATTTTCTTGGTTTTTGTTTTGTCTTCCAAACCAAACGTTTTAGCTCGTTGAATTCGAGCCTCGATAGGCTTTTTCGCGAAGTTTTTAAAACCTTTAAAAACCTTTTATTACTTTGCATCTAGTAATTTCTTTTCTTCTTTGATAGTTTTTGCATTATCCTACATGAACACCGTGCTTTGTGCCTACCCCAAGCATACATTTTGGATGTTTTTCGTGAAGCGTCTTAAAATATCCCGTAGTGGTGCTTTACGTAAGGGCTCCCATAGACAATTTGGCATTTTCCTATACTGCCCTTTTAGAAATGTCACGTTTTTTGTATTTTTGGCGTCCACAACAAAAGTACCGCATATCGTACAGTGTAAAATTGTATGGTGTATCGTACAAAAATTGTATGGCATATGTGTTGCGTAAAATTACACTAGCAACGTGATCTAACTCACGTCAAAAACGGTTGAACTTCTATTTCTATTAAGACGTGAGCTTAAACGAGTCGACGAGCACGCCGAACCATCGAGGTCAGACGCCCGCCATTGGAAGCAAATACGGTTATCTAGGAAGCAATCTAGCTTTACCGGACAGTTAGGGTGTTCGTCCAGCCCCTGTATAAGGAGCGGACCTTACTGAAGCCGCACCCATTTAGACACGTGCCCCCAGTCCTGAGACGCTTTTTTTCATCTTGTGGACAAAACTGCTAAAAGTGTCGCCGATTTTCTTCTCTCTTACTGGATTTGGATATGTGCCTCCAGTCTTGCGACATGTATTTCCGTCTTGTGGACATCGAATATTTGTTTTGGCAGCGTATGTCAATCTTTTATTCAAGTGTTAGGCTACGAATGCTGAAACACCCCCCCCCATTTATCATCTTTTCCTTTGTTAATATCATGGACTAAAGTTCCAATGACAAATCGAGGGACTTTAGACTGCCGATGACATATTGAGAGGGTATCATCCCATTCTAATCTTTTTAAACCCTGTACCTTCTAAGGACATGACATCACCCAGGACAGCCTTTACTTGTAAAAGCGTTCTACACTAGCAAAAGGTCAATCTAGATTCTTTAGCGCACTAAATCTAGAAAATACCTTTTCTGGTCTTAGTAGCTACTTGTCTTGAACATTTAGCGAATCAAGAATAGTTTCAACATTCTCAACACTACTGAAAGATTTTTTTTTAAAGAACTTTGCAGAATGAGTCTTGGATTTATTTCCTTGACTACTTTGATCTTTGTCGATTCTAGACTCGATCAAAGTGGGGGTTAACTGTAGACACCAACTTTGGGCCTCCTATCCCGACGGGAAGTACGATGATGTTACAAAAACTCGTTCTTCATGCTAGATCAAAAGTTGAAGTGTTTATGGACTCCGAAATGCATTATGAAGTAAGTAAAAAACCCGTATTTGAGGCCAAGTTATCTTAGAGCCTTTTCCAATTACTAATTAGGCCTAAAACATGTTCATACATGCTTAATCTTGATTAATAACGGACCTAAATGCGTCAAATGCAATGATTGGATCAAATAGATCTTACATTGTTGAAAAACCGAGCCAACCAGTTAAACCCACTACCAATTTCCGTGCAAGGCCTATACAAATGCATAGACCTTTCAATGATCTTTCCAACGGTATATTATAAGCCCAATTCCGAGTTAAAATGAAGAAGTTATCATCATAATACTAAATCGGACCAAATGCCGACTGCTATTTCGGCTGCTATAAGGTGGAATTCTTAGCCGGCTTACGCTTCCCCCTTCATGATGCAGTGGAAGCCATCTTGAGAGGGTATGACATAGGTGTATGGTAACTCAACCCCAACTCGTGGGTGAACCATCCTTGGCTATATTGCCGCCTACGAAATGCCGGACATAACGCCCGGCTGGGAGGCTTGGTAGTACTTCGTTAAGTTGTCTACATTCCAAATTCTGGCTAGCTTCCTGCTGTATGATGTTTCTAGGCGGTAGGTGCCGCCTCTGACTTCTTCGTAAATCTGGTAGGGGCCTTCCCAACTGGGTGTTAATTTGCTTTGCTCATTGGCCCTACTGGTTGCCTCCATTTTTTGTAACACAAAGTCCCCTAATTTCAAGGGCCATTTGTGTACTCTTTTGTTGTAGGCTCTTGTCATTCTCAAACGGTAGATCTAATGACGTAAGGTGGCATTGCTCAAGCATTCTAAAAATGAGTCCAATGCCAACCGCATGGCCTCCTAGTTAGCCTCTTCATCATACAACATGACTCGAAGAGTTGGCTCACAAAGTTTAATAGTCAAGACGGCTTCAGCACCGTATACCAAGAAGAACGGGGTTTCTCCGGTTACCCCTTTTGCTTTTGTTCTGATGGACCAGAGCACATGAATTAACTCTTTGGCCCACAGACCGCCAGCCCTTTCAATTTTCTTCTTAATGCCGTTTGAGATTAGTTTGGTGAAGGCTACAACCTGGCCTTTTGCTTGGAGTCGGCAAACTGATGCAAAACAGTGGGATATCCCTTGGTCTCCCAGCCAATTCTTGAGGGTAGGCGTCTCAAATTGAGGGCCATTGTCAAAGACCATAGACATAGGGACCCCATACTGGGTGATGATGTTCTTCTCGATGAAAGAGATGACTTCCTTTGTCTTAATGCCCTTGACCGCCTCTACTTCAACCCATTTGGTGAAATAGTCAACAGCCACTAGAATGTACCATCTCTGGCCTAACGCAGGTGTATACGGACCCAAGATGTCCATGCCCCACTTGGTGAATGGCACTGGGCTATGAATTGCCATTAGATCAGTTGTCGGATGGTGTATGAGCTTGCCAAACATTTGACATTTGTCACACCTCTTCACCATTTACATGGCGTCTGCTTCCAAAGTTGGCCAAAAATAACCCCGTCTTCTAGCTCTTCCTGCTAAAGCTCTGCCGCCTATGTGTGAGGCACAGTAGCTTGAGTGTAGATCCTCCAGAATCTCATGCCCCCTTTCTGGGGTGATGCATTTCAACAGTGGCAATAGGAAGCACTAGTAGAAAAAATGAAAAAGGCACCCCCTTTTTCGCACCGGGTCTTAAAAACCGGTGGGAAAAAAATTGGGCGGGATTTGGATAATTACTTTTTGCACCGGTTCCTTATAAACCGGTGCCAAATCTTGGTTTTCGCACCTGTTTGAACCGGTGCTAAATGTTTTTATTTTAAAAAAAAACAAGAGGGAAAGAGGGATTTTTCACCGGTTCAGCCCAAACCGGTGGGAAAAATCATTTACAACCGGTTCGAACCGGTGCTGTAAATTAAACGAAAAAACCACTTAATCGTGAAATTCGATCTTTTTCTTCCTTCAATTCAGTTTTCATTCCCCTTCTAGCTTTTCTACATTCAATTCGCACCCCCCTCGTTGTCGCCTACCTTCCCCATAGCTGTACGTCTCCATCGAAGCGCATTCTGGGCTTTCTCACCTCCATTGCTGCAACTCGTCTCTTTCTCTCCATAACTCTCCTCCATTGAAGCGCATTCTGCTGAGCTTTCTCACCTCCATTGAAGCGCATTCTGAGCTTTCCAACTCCATTGTAGCAGCTTCGAGGTAAGATTTATTTCGTGGTCTTCCTAATCTATTGAATTCCTTAGCAATCTAGGGTTAGTCGTTGATTTAGGGTTTTCTGTTCTTTGTGGTTTGCTGCTGTGACTTTAATTTCGAGTTGTGCATTCAACAATTGTAAATTGTTTTAGGGTTTTGATTGTTGCTGTTGTTTATGAACTTGATGGTTCTCGTTTGGGCATTTGTTTATGAACTTGATGGTTCTCCATTGATGGGTTCCTCAGCTTTCTGATTTGGCGCTCAGCATATTTAACACATGTACTTAGCCGGAGAAACAGATTCTATGTTGCTGTAAACTGGGCAACCACTCTAGTTTTTGGCACGAATATTTCAAAGATAGGAAACTGAAGATATTAGCTTCAAATATTGCTGTTGTTGTCCCTATTGCATTGAGGTCCTTTTACTTGTAGTTTGTGCTAAAACTTTGGACGTTATTTAATTTGTTGTAATCAAATTTTGCGAAACTGAATACTTCTATATATGATACTCATATTATGATAGAATTACAGTATTAATCAAACAGATCAAGGTCTTTTGAACTAATTAAGTGCGAAATACAAAAACTGATTAGTACTCCGATTTATGTAGTTTCTCAATCTTATATGGCATCTAAATGAGAATGTGTTGATCTTGGTAAAATTGCAAGAAATGAGATGAAATTGTGCAAAGCTGTTGTGGTGTAATATTGGATAAAATTGCAATTATGTAAGCTTTTGTGGTGTAATGAGCTGCTTGATTTATGTTGGTCATTACTCGTATAATATTGGATAAAATTGCAAGAAATGAGATGCAATTGTGCAAAGCTGTTGTGGTGTACCCAATTTCAAGAACTTATGTTAGGTAGAAAGTTTGTTCTTCTTAAACTAATTTCAAAGTTGCTTGTAAGAGTTGTAACAAGATTGTTTCGTATTAGATCAAGATATTTAAGAGTTTACTGAACTTAGAAGAATTATGTGAGAAACATAGTCTTCAAAAGCAAAGTTAAAGCATTTGTGATGGTAAGGGCTTAGAGTAAGAAGTGACTACTGCCACACTCAATGCTACCTGTGCAGCACTACAAAGATTAACCATAGTTAGGCTTTCCAAAGGTAAATTGCACATGAGCTCACTGTGTTGAAGGCTTGAAGCCCAGATTACCATTAATATGGTTTCATAAACTTCAATGTGCTCTGTTTTTTCTTCTCTCAAAATTGATTTGGAGCTAAAAAGTTAAAACAATATTCATGTGAATAATGCTCTTGGTAGTTAGACCTTTTTTCTAAAAAAGAAGAATCCCCTTCTGCATTTGCATGATTACTAATTTTTTTCATGCATATAGTTATTCTGAACAAATTTTGACAGCTGAAATGCATATACTAAAGACTAGTGTATCGTTTTAATATCTTCTAAAAGTATCTTTGCTAACTCGGTAAGTAGTAGTATACCCTCTATGGCTATTGCCATCTCTAATCAGGAAAAGCTTTAGATAAATTAGTACTTGATTCTTGTATGGATTAGATTTCCTTCATGGTATTTCTTCCTTCAATATCTCGTTTTTATGGTAATTCATCCTTCGTAAGCAATAATATACCCTATATCATACATCTATACAAGCTTTAAATGTTACACCAAGTCATGCTCAGCTTTAAGTTTGGTTAATCCCTGGCTAGAAGGTCCCTCTGACTTTTATTTTTCCTTACTTTATACAGAGTACTTCGTATACAATATATAAAAATATAATCATTTGAGCTAATCTATTGCATGATCTTTTGCAGTGATAAATATACGAGCATATGCATCCTGGGGTAGCTTCTCTCATTATCCGGTTTGGCAAGGTAATGTTGCCTGCAGTAATGGCAAATGATCAAAATTTCAATTACTTTTAAAAATCTTAAATGAACAAATAGTTTGAAATTATGATGATACTTCTGCTTGCATTAGAAAGTAAATTTAATTGCTTGGAAACTCATGATTATGAATAGTCACACCTCTTTATATATCAGTTCACCGTTCTTTTCAATTCATTGCTCTTCTTGCTCGTCTTCCAAATAGTTTCCCAGAAAATTGAATAGTTGCCAGCTCCATCCTATGAGCTAATTTAGCTAGCCATAAGGGTATAAATAACTGATTCCAATGTATTATCAGGTTAATAGTCTTTAGCATTAGTATAAATAGAGTGAGGGGAGAAAGGAGAAAGAGGCAGAAAATTTGGAATCAACAATTAACTTCAGACAACAATTAACTGAATCAACTTATTCCCCATTTTGTTGTCTGGCATTTACAGCAGATATGGTCGACTTCATATCTTTTTATCAGTTTACTCAACATTTAATTCTGTGATGATAGTTATACCATCTAATATGCTATAGTTCAATTTGGAGTTGTATGTTCATGTCAGTTGATGTTTTCTCTGACCAGGAAAGAAGCAAATGAATTGATAAAACTTGTCAGGTCTCGTGTAGTGGACAACAATGGAACTTTTGGTAAATTGCTTTGCAAGATTTTGATCCTGATATTGACAGCAATGTCTACGTAATTGCCTAATACAATTGTTTTGTTTTTTTTTTTTCCTGATTTTTTTTCTCTAGGTGAAACTACTCCAAATATGCAGACCTCAGCAATTATGGAAGCTAGGAAATGATAAGATTTTCAAGTGTGACTGATCCCTCTCTACTCGGGGAAGCAGGGGAGCTTGAAATACGCATCAAACCTGATCCAGATAATGGGACCATCACGATTAGGTATGCATTCATTCCGTCGATATGCTGCAATTTCATTAATTATCGAATTCTGAGTTTGTATGTATCTCAATCTTTAAGGATACTGGTAATTGGAATGACAAAAGAGGAGCTTGTTGATTGTTTGGGAACTATTGCACAGAGCGGCACTTCCAAGTTCTTTAAAGCATTGAAGGTACTCGAAACCTTTCTTGTGATATAGTCGTATGTTTTAATTAAAGTAGTCTTGTTTTTTCTAGAAACAATTTGAGCTTGTCAGTGTAAGGTTTTTTGAATTGAGAAGAGAATATGTGATGATTGATAAGAAACTAATGGGATGAACCCTCGATCATCAATAACTGTATGCTAGCTCAAAAACGTGTACTCTGTTGTCATTTGAGTTTTCTTTCTATATGATTAGTTCCATATTGTTCATGGAATAGTTATAGTGGTTGGATTATTTTATTTTAGCTATACTTTTCATCGCATTGATCTTCTTCTACGTGCAATGACCCATGCTTCATTTTCTGAGGAGAACAACCGAGCACTAAGCATTCTAGGCACGAGCATCATAGAAACATCTGTGTCCTTTAGGTATCTTCTAAATGATATGGATATTTCTTCAAAAACTCTGAATCGTGTGATAGCAGAGGCATGTAATGTGGAGTCCTCATGTCCTGTGGATGGGATGAGGTTGGGATTGCACAAAATAGTCAGTCTCTCACAATACCAACTGTACCACTCCTGCCATAGTTTGTGGTGCTTTCCGTGCAATATTTGCTGCTGTTGCTCTCGACTCTGGAAAGTCTGATGATGCTTCAACAGTGTCCTGGAATGTCCATACTCGTATAGGTGAAATGGCTGCTGCATTTTAGGTAAGCCTCAGAACTAGTGGTGACTGCATCCTACTATGAACTGATGTTATATGAATTCTTTGTTAGGGTGATGGTGTTTATATATCGTATTAACTTTATGTATTCTCTAGAACTAGAATGGCTCAATAACTGTGCTACATATATGTATTGCTCCTAGGGAGGGGATAACAGAGTTTATCAATGGTTGTTAATAAAAGTATGGTTGTTTTATATGTGGATCCAAGTTTGCGTTTTATTATAGTTTGCAGAAAGCCAATCATTGTTGATGTCAGAATCGTTTGTGATCTTTGAGTGAAAAATTTATTGTGATCATCCTGCATGTCACCTTGAAAATGACACTTTAGATTCAGAGAACTGCCAAGACGGCCCTTGTTGTTAGTTGTATGTTGAGATCTGTTGGGTTTATTTCAGTCTGTCTCCAGGTTGGTGGTGAACCAGGAAACATGCCATTCACCATTAGAAAAGTACAATACAGCATTACAGCTCAATGTTGCAAGCTTGCCGAACTTAATTCCTTTAAGCTGAACAAGTCTAGTAGTGACTAAATCCTATTTCTGCTTTTTCATGTCTATGTTCATGCAGGTACCATTATGACCATATCAAAGGATAGGGTGAAGCCATCTCCTATGCCAGACAGCTGCTGGAAGCTCTCTGAGATTTTTGCCACTGGAATTGTCATTGGCAGTTCCTGTCAATGATGACGGTGATATGTTTTTGGGCAGCATATGAGGCTGATTTCTTTCCGGTATGTGGTTGTGCTTTGACTAAACATAGTGTTGAATTTCTACTTTTTCTCTTATAATTTTATATTTGTGTAGTTGCATGTTGCATCCACATTTCTGCATTGATTTTTCATAGCTCACTAAGTTGACTAAGTTTCCTGGCCATTCTGCAGAGAATGTTTGGGGTTTCACACTTAAACAGACAATCAGCTACTACTGAAAGTGCTACTACTTAAACAGACAGTCAGCCACTACTTAAACAGACAATCAGCTGCTGTAAGTGTACCCTGCTGTAATTTACTCCTACATATGTAGTGTGTTTGTTCTGATTCTTTTTCGTGGTTCTGCATGTTGATTCAAGCAGCAGTACAAACCAGCAATGGCAGCAATAACACACAACCAGCAGCATAACCAAAGCAGCAGCAACAGTACAACAGCAACACCACAAGAGAAAAACAAGCAGATTTTATTTTATTTTATTGGACGAAAATTGTAATATTACGACTTTTTTTTAATGAAAATATGTAATTTTATATATATGTTAGCGTTTATATATCAATATAAGTGAAAAAAAAGCAAAAAAAAAAAATTTTAATTTTTTTTAAGCATTTTTGGCACCGGTTTTGGAAAGAACCGGTGCTAAAAGTTTTTTTTAAAATTTTTTTGGAGACTTTTGGCACCGGTTATAAGACAAAACCGGTGCGAAAGTGTGGTTTTTAGCATCGGTTTTCATCCAGAACCGGTACCAAAAGTCTGATTTCGCACCGGTTTTGAACCGGTGTGAAATGCCTAGGGTTTTAGCACCCCCCAAATCAGGACCGGTTCAAAACCGGTGCTAAATGGGGGTTTTGGACCGGTGCGTATTACGTGTTTTCGCCTAGTGAAGCCCTTCTTGAATAGCTCTCCATTGCAAATTTTAATGATAGTCGCATGCTTTTTCAATTTAACCATTTCTGGCTATGTATCCGGTAGAATGTCGACTAGCAAGTAGACCCGGATGCCGTCCATCCAGGTTGAACTTCGGTCTAGAACGCTAATGGGTTCTTCTTCAATACTTTGTTTTTCCATCACTACCCAAAATATTGACCAAGGTGTATCACAGGAGGCGAATAATGCCAGTTTTGATGGAGCATCCGCCTGATTGTTCTCTAATAGGGGCACCTGACTCAGGTGAAATTCATCAAGTGTCCCAGCCTCTGTCCTGACCCCCTGCAAATATTTTATCATAGACGGATGGGTGACCTCATAGTCATTATGGTAATGGCAAACAACCAACTGTGAGTTCGAGCAAGCGTCAATTTTCTTTATCCCTGCCACCTTGCACATGCTTATTCCGGCTAGCAGGGCTTCATACTCTGCCTCGTTGTTTGAGGCTTAAAACTTGAACCGTAGTGCGTATTCATATTTGTCCCCTTTAGGAGATTGACATATAATCCGTGCACCGCAGCCGTTCATAGTAGAGCTCTCGTCTACATACACTTTCCAAACCTGATCCAAATTTTCCGACACTGCCAGACGTGTCATTTCAACAATGAAGTCAGTGAATGCCTAACCTTTCGCTGCCTTCCTTGGTTCGAAAGTGATTTCAAGACTCTGTATTTTGATAGCCCATTTGAGCAATTGGCCTAATGACTCTAGGGTTGTCATTGGCAACTTGAGTGGTTGGTCTGTATAGACTACCACCGGATGGGCCAAGAAGTATGGTTTTAGCTTCTTGACTGCCATGAATAGGGCGAGGCCAAATTTCTCAACTGTTGAGTACCAAAGTTCTGCATTTCGAAGAACGTGGCTAACGAAATAGTCCGGGAGCTGATTGTCGTCTCTCTTAGCAAGGAGAACAACACTAAGAGCATCATCTGAGATGGCTGGGTACATGTAAAGCGTCTCCTTGGGCAGAGGGCTTACAAGCCTTGGCAATGAGTGCAAGTGTTCTTTCAATTTTTGAAATGCCGCCCCACCATCATCTCCCCATTCAAACATGGTTTTCTTTTGGATAGCTTGGAAGAAATAGAGACACTTGTCACCTGACCGACTGAGGGATCTCCCCAATGCCACCAGGCAACCGGTTAACTTTTGTATTTCTCTAATAGTGTGAGGTGACTTCATGTCAATGACCGCCTGTATTTTCTCTAGGTTTTCCTTTATCCCCGTTTGATCAATTAAAAATCCGATAAACTTCCCAGGCTCCACACCAAAGGCACACTTCTTAGGATTGTGCATGACCTTGTGCCGCCTAAGTGTTGTGAAGGTTTCTCGGAGGTCAGCAAGGTGATCAGTCTGTAGCTTGGATTTTACTATCATGTCATCAATGTACGCCTCTACATTCCTACCAATCTGGCTGATGAAAACTGTATTAATCATATGTTGCAGTGTAGAAGACGCATTTTTCAAGCCAAACGGCATCACATTATAACATAATAACCCCTGATCAGTGAAAAATGCCGTCTTATCTTGATCTTTCTTCCACAAGGGTATCTGATGAAAGCTTCAGTAGGCGTCAATAAAGCTCATCATGCCTTATTCGAAAGCGGATAACTGTCTTTCGGACATGCCTTGTTCAAATCTGTGTAATTAACGCACATGCGCCAGGTCCCATTCGGCTTCTTGATCAAAACAACATTCGCCACCCAATCTGGGAACTAACATTGCCGAATGAAACCGGCGTCTAACAGATTATTAACTTTGGCGGATGCCGCCTGACTTCTTTCCTCGTCATGATTCCTTTTCTTTTGCTTGACAGGCTTTTTCTTCAGGTCAACGGTGAGTTTGTGGACGGCTAGATCTGGGGATGATGCTTGGCATCTCTTCCACATCAAAAGAAAAAACATCCTTGAGTTCCTTCAACAGATTAAGTAAGTCTTCCCCCAATTTTGCAAAGGAAACCGTCCCCACCTTAACAGTTCTTTCAGGACGTGTGTCGTCCAGCTAGAATGATGTCAATGTGCTCACCAGCCGGCTGGGGACGGAGTTCATCTAACCGTTCCCCGGTTAGTGATCGCAATTACATCTCCTTCTTGACGGTTACCAACTAGTCGGCCTTTCTTTTCTTGCCGCCTTCTGGTGGGGCAAACTCAGGGTCCTTGACATCGTCAAGGTCAATCGGCTCCATGTCCCGGCCAATAGCCATGGGCTTGACATTTGAGAGGTAGAACTCTCGAGTCGTCTTCTGATCTCCGCACAAGGAGCCGACAAAGCATCATCCTTCTTAAATTTTAACAACATAAGAGAGGGGACAATACGGCCTTGGATTCATTTAAGGTCGGACGACCTAAGATGAGATTATAGGCGGTCAGCTCTTCAACTACCAAGAATCGAACGACCATGTGCACAACTCCACCCCTAAAACCAACCAAGGGATGAGAGACCTTGTGCATGTTGTCTGGGTTGTACCTCAGCTTTCACAAACATTTCCATCTAATTATTTCAGACGAACTACCAATATCAATAAGGATCCGACCAACCATTTGGTTAGCCACCTAGGGGTCGAACCTTGCCCCTGTCCTGTTCAGATATAACGACCTCAGGAAATGTGTTAGCAGACGTCTAACCTTCGTCAAAAGAGTTGACCATTTTTCTGACATGGTCCTTGGTGCCCATGATAATTGGGCCGCCTGAAGCAAAACCGCCTGCAATTGTGCAAATCATGTCCGGATCAGTGTCCGAATCATTGTCAGCTTTAGCTAATTTCTTCGACGACTGCTTGGGGTCTGTTTGTAGAGATACGTTAAACTTCAAAACATAGGATTTCAACAATCCCTTTGCGGCCAATTTATCCGATAACTGCTTGAGGCTGTAGCAGTCATTGTTTTCATAGCCTATATCCTCATGAAAATGGCAACCTTTGCTCGCCGGACCTTTCATTGCCGAGGTCTTTTCATAGCTCACCCGATCTTTATTCAACATGAGGATGGAGTAACAGTCTTACTTAAACTCGTACTTAGGGACGTACGACTTAACTTCATTCTTTCTCTTCTTGGACGGCTGACTAGATGCGTCGATCGCCCATATATCTTTTCTCTTTTTGCTCTCTTCATTTTTCTGAGGCGGCTGATCTTGCCGACTCCCTTTTTTTCTGCTTGTTGAAGCTCTTTGAAACTGGCTGCTTGCCGGAGGAGCAGAGCTCAGTCGCCTATTGTAGGGAATTTTTCAAACTCAATCTTGAGCCCCACTGTGATCATGCTTTTAAGCATGTTGGCGTCCAAAGGGAAGGAAGCTAGAGATAAAAGAGTCGCCAACAAGTTTTAGGAACTTGTCAAACCGTTCACAGGTGTGAAAGTTACACCCCATTCACAATCACGGAGATCGCTAACTCTGTAATGGTCCGGAACCATGACTGGATGTTCAGGGATTATGGTACGAATCCAACCTAAAAGAGATTGAACCCGCCCTAAATCGGCCTCTACTTAATTCTTATGATATTCATGTGCGCTTTCTGATCAACATACATACTGATAAGTGGCATTTATGCCACTATTTAGATCCTCTAATCGCGGTATTTTTCTACGTTTGTCCCTTGTTTGTACCCCTTTTGCTCCGTTTCTCTCTTTATTATGTTTTTGTGCTTTTCCTCGTGTTTTATAGGCTTTTGGAGTTGATTTTGAGAGAATGAAGAGCTTGGAGAATTGGAGTTCATTTGAAGAGCTACAAAGGAAGTTAAGGAGCAAGCAAGCAAGGCCATACGGACAGCGCGGGTCGTGCTTTCAGAATGGCGCGGGCGCGCCAAACCAAGCGCGGGCGTGCCTAACATTGGGGTTGAAAATATTGAAGGAGGCAGAATGTAGGCGCGATTTGGGCGCGGCTTAGGCGCGGGCGCGCCTAAGATAGGCGCGGGCGCTCCTAAGATAGGCGCGGGCGCTCAAGGGCCTGAACTCCGAAACTAACCTTTGTTCACTATTTTAGCCATAACTTTTGATCTACAAATTGGATTGAGGTGATTCAAGTTGCATTGGAAACTAGACTTAAAGAGCTTTCCAACGGTAGGTTGCACGCCCATAGAAGACTCCTAGAACAGAAGTTATGGCCGTTTGAAAATGAATGTCGCTGTCAGGCCAATCCCAGTGCGCGGGCGCGCAGGCAAATATCGCGGGCGCGCACGAGCAGCTACGGGTCTTTTAAACGCTTCTTCCTCTCCTCTTTTTATAAGTTTTGATGTTGGGTTTCTTTGGGGGTTTTTCTCTCTCCTCTTTGAGGGGTTAAACCCTAACATCTCTCCATCAATCTTCACATAAATTAGGCTTAGATTTAGATTTAATCTTTGTTTTTATACTTTGTAATGTAGATTAAGAGTAATTTAGGGTATTTTAGAGAGAGAAAGTGAAGAGCTTCAATGGTGGATTGAAGAAGATGAAGATGCAAAGTGACATTGTTTTGGATTCCTTTTCAATACTTCAATGAGCATTCTAAACTCTATCTCATTTATTGTTCTTTCTTAATTTCTTGCTTGATTAGAGTAGTTGTTTAGTTTAATTGCTTCTCTTTGTTCTTCTTGTTGGTTTTTGTGTTAGTTTTTCATGATTAGTGAGTA